AGGCAAGTGAAGGATGGAGGGGGGCAGCCTACAGATCAGGCAAGTGAGGAATGGAGGGGGGCAGACTACAGATCAGGAAAGTGAGGGATGGAAGGGGGCAGCCTACAGATCAGGCAAGTGAGGGATGGAAGGGGGCAGCCTACAGATCAGGCAAGTGAGGGATGGAGGGGAGCAGCCTATGGATCAGGCAAGTGAGGCATGGGATCAGGGAAGTGAGGCATGGGTTTGCAGCCTATAGAGCAGGCAAGTGAGGCATGGGATCAGGGAAGTGAGACATGGGGGACAGCCTATAGATCAGGGAAGTGAGGCATGGGATCAGGGAAGTGAGGCATGGGAAGAGGGCAGCCTGTAAATCAGGGAAGTGAGGGATGGTAGGGGGAAGACAGCCTATAGATCAGGTATGTGAGGGTTGGTGGGGGGAGACAGACTATAGATCAGGTATGTGAGGGTTGGGGGGGAGAAAGCCTATAGATCAGGTAAGTGAAGGATGGGGGGGTCCACCTACAGATCAGGTATGTTAGAGATGGGGGGATCCACCTACAGATAAGTGAGGGATGGGGGGAAGCAGCCTACAGGAAGGGTCAGCAAGGAGCAGGAATGTAAAGTAAGAGAAGAAGCAGAAAGGAGAAGGAACAGAAATAAGAAGGAAGTGAAATCAAGGAGCAGAAAGGGGCAGCAAGGAGCTGGAAGGGACAACAATGAGCACAAAAAGGTAAAGTAGGAGAAGGAGCATAAAGGAACAGAAATGAGCAGGAATGGGCATCAAGGAGCAAGAAGGGGCAGCAAGGAGCACAAATGGGCAGCAAGGAGAAGGAAGGGTCAGCAAGGAGAAGGAAGGGTCAGCAAGGAGCAGGAAGCGGCAGCAAGAAGCAGGAAGGTAAAGCAGCACAAAGGTTAAGTAGAAGGAGCAGAAAGGGTCAGCAGGGTGCTGGAAAGGGAAGCAAGGTGCAGGAAGGGACGGAAGGAGCACAAAGGTAAAGTAGGAGAAGAAACAGAAATGAGCAGGAAGGGACATCAAGGAGCAGAAAGGGTCAGCAATGAGCTGGAAGGGGCAGAAGGAGCACAAACGTAAAGTAGGAGAAGGAGCAGAAATGAACAGGAAGGGTCTGCAAGGAGCAAGAAGGGGCAGCACGGAGCAGGAAGGGTCTGCAAACAGCAGAAAGGGACAGAAGGAACACAAAGGTAAATGAGCAGAAAGAATCAAAAGGAGCACAAATGTAAAGTAGGAGAAGGAGCAGAAAGGGTCTGCAAGGAGCAGAAAAGGACCAGAAAGAGAAAGGAGCAGAAGGGTGCAAAATAAGCAGAAAGTAGCAGAAAGGTAAAGGAGCAGAAGGAGCCAAGGAGGAGAGAAGACAGTGTCAGAAGAAAAAGAAGACTGTGTCAAATGAAGGAGAAGGAAATGAGATTGGAGCAGGAAGGACAAGTGAAGTGAACCCTCCACTTTATTCTTGACACCACATCATAAGGCTTTGGTACCTGGGCCTGGCAGGGAAATTCTGGACCTTCTCATCTCCCCAGGTTAAAAAAATATATATCAGTGTTAATGTGTTCACTTTTATTTACTGGGTGTAAGGAAGCACAGAGTGCTGGGTAGGGGAGTCGCTGATTGGCTAGAGCGGTCAGCTGGCACTCTAAGCCAATCAGTAGCTCCCCATTCATAAAAATGTAAACCATTTTTATGAACCGGGAACTAGTGATTGGCTTAGAGCGTCAACTGACCACTCTAGCCAATCTGCAGCAGCCATGCCTGACGTCAATCTTCACTTCCCTACACGCCGTTTCAGAAGCTGAATACCACTGAGCGACCTGGAGATCTGGAGCTGGAGGAAGCCTTTGGGGTTAAATAATTTGAGAGCGGTTTAACCCCTTAAAGGAAAGAGAGCACCCATGAGCTTCCTGGCATCATAGTATTTTCATTTAGATGAAATTGTTATGGTGACAAGAATGTTCCTTTAATTTGCTTAAAGGAGCACCATAGTTGTGAAAACGCTATTCACCCTGGCTTTATGTGATAATAACTATGCCCCTTCCCTTTCATGACACTGTCAAAGAGGGACCAAGCATGGATGTCATTACAGTTATGAACCCCGCTGGAAAAATTCCTGCGGACGCCCATGTACACTGCAATGGTGAATGTTTTTTGTTAGTTTCTTTTTTTTTTTATTATAACATTAGCAGTATCCTCTCCTCTATAATGCGAATAACTAGACTTTGTCTATCCTTTATTTCTATCTTATTATCTATCTATCTTTCTAATCTCAGTTCCCCCAGAGGTGAAGGTTTCAGAACAGAAAGCAGATGGAGCTACAAAGCTTCTCTGCCAGGTGTACGGGTTTTACCCTCGGGACGTGGATGTGAATTGGAAGAGAGATGACATTGATGTTCCCTTGGATGAAGCCAAACAGGTTCTTCCCAATACTGATGACACTTACCAGATCACAGTTACTGTGGAAGTACTACCAGAAGACATAGGGGAATACACCTGCCACGTGGAACACATCAGCCTGGACAAAATACTTATTGTGAAATTAGGTAAGTTTCACCATATCTGGGCTAAACAGAAATAAGAGAGTGTGGGGTTTTGAGTCATTGGAGTATCCATATATTTTTATTGTGTGTAAAGTAATAAACTCAATAATATAATTCCAGAAAATGGTGAAATTTTCATATTTAGGGTGTTACTCCAAGCACCATGATCATTTTTTGGAATTTGAAGTGGTCATGGTGGAATGACTATACATGCACAGTATTTCAGTATGAATCTTTGTCCATACAGAGATATTTAATGTTGCTCATGGAGATGTAACTCCACCCCTGTCAGCTTTCATTAGACAGTCTGGGAGGGGAGTTCTGAGCTGGCTAATGTTAATTCTGTACATATTCTACAAACAGTCGCTCTTTTTTTTTGTGGTAATCTTCATTTTTATTGAAGCACAGTATGCATGTATACAGAGAATAAACAAGTATAAAGCTTACAGACTCCAAACATGTTATCGCACATATGGTTATGCTCACTCCCTTTTTCCTGCCTGTATTTCCGCACCCAGCCTCTGTGGTTAACTGAACAACCGAGCGCAACTGCGCAAACTGAACTTTAGAACGTGTTCTGTATGTCTCTATGGGGGAAGGTAGGGTAAGAGAATCGTGTTTTTCTCTTTTTTTTCTTCCTTTTTTTCTCCTTCCCCCCCTTTTTCTCCTCTTCCCTTTTTCTTTTTTTCCTTTTTTTCTTTTTGGGGGGGGACTAATCTCTTCCCCTGCTTTCGTCCCGCTCGTGTATTTGGCTTGAGGTAATGACCTGAGTGCTGTCGTGGACAGTTCAAGTAACAGTCGCTCTTCATTGTCTGAGAAAGCTCAGCTGATGCTCTCAGCCAATCAATGAATGACATCCAGCTTGTGCGTACGTCGGATGCAGCATAGCCACCATTCATGGAGACTCTGCCTTCATTAGGAACCAGTTAAGTGACAAACCAATGGAAAACCTTTCCACTATAACGGACCGTAATGGTTGTGATGCTTGGCATAACCATTTAAATGTATGCCTTTTATTACATGTTTATAGTAAATACAAAGTTCTATATTAGCTGTGCAACAATAAACGATTAAATATTGAAAGTTCACATGTGACATTGATGTTGTTTACATGTGAAAATGGGGAGGGGGCAGATAAACTGCCTCTGCATCATCCATATTTCTAACTAAAGAATGCCTCCTTAAGGCACTGTATATCCTCTCTTAGCCAAAGAAACATTGATAATGGAAGAGACTCCGTAATTTGGTAACGGCGAATGTGCATGATCTTGGGACCCAAGCATGACATAGTAAGCAAACTCCTGGTAATTGTGTGCCACACTTCTATTACTCTCCCATAATGGACTGGCCCAAGCTAAAGCTTTAGCTCGGTCTGTGGGAAAAGATCCCGGTGAGTCCTCAAAATTAAACTCCATTTGGTTAAGGAATCCCTGGCATTCTTGGAAATTACCATCAAAATGCAGAGGAGGAGATAGAGAGATAATTGGTGCCTTGTATACTATAGGTGGAGGTACACAAGGTGTAGGTGAGACAGTAGGAGCAGCCGCAGGTTGCAGATGCACTGTACGGGTAAGAAGCGTACTGAAGGCCTGGGCAAATTGATCCATGCGGTGATCATTCTCCTCTAGTTTCCTTTCGCAAGCAGCTATGTGCTTACACAATTCTTCAGGATCTATGGCCATGTCGTAATGTGAGGATTACAGAATGATCCAGCACGTAGAATTGTGTAAAACAGAGGACTAATAGGTAACGTATATCGGACCTTAGAATGGCCGGACTAACTTACCAAAGAATAGTTAGTAATAGCCGAGGTCAAGGGACACAGAAAGAGACACAACGATAAGGAAAAGCCAGGGATCAGGGATGCCAGAAAACAGGGAAGTCAAAATCAAAGCCAAAGTCAAAAACCAGAATAACCAAAATCAATAACGCGCTCTCGGACAACCACAAGGGAAACCATGACAGGGCACTGAGCAGGATGAGAACTGGGCCTAAATACCCCTCATCTGGATCTGACCCTAGAGGCAGTTACCAGGTTCCCATTTGCATAACTGCTGCTCAGCAGA